TTAACAGGTTTATTGAAGAGTTAGGCTCGGTGCGGAGTTGCTCAGAACTCAGCTCGACTGGAACTGGAAGGTGAAGGGAAGACAAACGATTAATTCAGGCTCAGTGGGAAATTTCAATCGTTGATATGGAGAAGAGGATCTGGTGGTTGACTGACTTTTCCAGAGAAGTTGTAGGATCTTTGACTCCAATCTGTGTGATGTTTTCCAGTGTTATTCTGATTCGGTGGAGGGCGGAACAGGGTTTACCCAGAACTCAGATGATTGTTGGTGAACAGAAAAACTGACTGCCACTCAGATTTCCTGTGGTACTTGAACGGGTCATGATGGAGATGATTCCCTTGCTCAGAGAGTTAACTCAACGTCCTCTTCAAGGAAGATGGATCCAAACCTCCTGTTTGAATCCCCAGCTAGGTTCAAGGCTCATTTGATTCCTTCAGGGGGAGAAGGTCCGGAAAGATCCAGTTTGCAGGAAGACTTCTTGCCGAGAGGCAAAAACAAAAAAACGAAGTTAAAACTCAGGTCGAACAAGAACTCAGTCTTACTCAGCAAAAAACTCAGCTTGGCTAGAGTACCCAAACTGGCAAACACTCTGGCGTCGAGGTAGTGGCAGTCAGCAGCTTAAGAGCACTCCGATAACGAGGTAACCATCATCAAGCGTGTGAGGAGGCGGACCAGAACCAGGCGCCTCCTGCTGGAGGGAGGGAGAACAACACAAAAAGACAAACACACAGACTGGAGTCCTGATATTAATAATATTAAAGACTGATATTTATTGTGGCTGTTGTAGCTGCTGGTTTTATTTCAGGAGTGGAAGGTGATTGGTCACATGGTGATGGATTGGTCATATGACAGTGGTACCGATGCAGCTCAGGACGGTGTGTTTAACTGAAGCAGAGAAGGATTGTCAGCACTGTGGTCGGTATTTCATTGTGTCTAAAGGTTAGGGAAAAATATGCTTCCCTAATATTCACCATTATTATCATTAATATTATTTCTGGAATAATCATTAATACCTAAAACTACTGTGGAGTAAAAAATGTTTAGGTATGTCTGTTCTTAGCCTCACAGGCTTCAAACGAAGGTCACGAGAGATAAGAATGAGTTACACAGCCTCCTTCATGGCATGAAGGGGAGGACTGATGTTTTGAAGAGATCCATCTGGCCAGTAAAGATATATATTAACACTGAATAGCCCTGATGAATTGAAGTTGTTTTGCTGCAATGTTCAAGTGTGAGAAAGTTCTTTATGCAGGGGGTGGGTTGGTTCCCCTGGGGGGAGTTTGTGTGTTAGGAAATTGTAAGGTATAAATGTATGTGCTGAGGAGGCCTCAATCAGAGCCCTATTTTTCTTTCTGAGGACGTTAAATAAATTTGAACCTTATTTCTAGCAAGAAATGCATCCGTCTCAGCTTCCTAACTTCACACTACTTTGCTTAAAACTTTATCTTTCTTTTATGGCCAGTCTGCAAACTGCCGGTAGCACATTTAAACAGACATGCAATTTTGAGCTCTTTATTTTGAATCTAGTTTCTAACAAATAAAGAGAAAAAACATTACAACTCCATACAAAAGTTTACAAGATAAAAAAAAACTTTTCTACAAGTTTAAAATTGAATATGTGTTTATTTTTCCCTTCTCCTAGTTTCATGTTTCATTAGACTGATGACATCCACTAACTATACAGTAAAAGTTAATAATCATAGCTGTAAATAAAGAAAGATCCATCTTCTGCCCAGTTTCCTACCTACATACTACCTTCTTTGGACTGAGACACAGCCACTGGTGGAATCATATCAATCTCTTTAATAAACGGATCTTTAATCTTTAATTAAGGATCATTTTCTCTCATCGTTGAAAAAAGTCAGATATAAAATTAATTACTTTATGAATGTTGGAATCAAACTTGATGTTAAAGATGATTTGTTCCCTTGATGAGAAGATTATAGCTCCTTATTTCTGTCTGTCTGCAGGACATCTAATAACTGATTTCTGCTCATTTTAGTGGACTGGAAGGCTGCATTCCAAGAAACTAATGATTAGATTTTGGTGGCAAGCCAGAAGCTGGACTTTTTCTCATAGCTAGTTATAATTTTTAGATTGCAATGGAGCAAGAGAGTCCTTAAATCTGAAGCATAGTCACAGAATAGTGTGAATATGCATTCGGTGGCCATTTTATTCAATAAACACTGCCTGTACAGATTCCATCAGTTCATCATGACATAGATAGTTGATTTTTGTTTAATCATTGGCTTTTTGATACATTTTCCTTGCCAGGTCTACTTAAAAAAAAAAAGATATCTTTGATTGAATATTTCCTAGTGAAATAAAGGTTTAATAATGAAAAAAAAAACAATATATATATATATATATATATATACACACACACACACACACACACACACACACACACACACACACACACACACACACACACACACATATATATACATATATATAAAATGCTCTTTTTTAAGATATATATATATATATATATATATATATATATATGTGTATACATATATATATATATGTGTATATATTTTAAAAAAGAGCGTTAAACTGTGTTGCTTGTAATAATCATTAATACCTAAAACTAATCTTTATTTTACAGCCAGATCCCAAACTGCCAAAAAAATGGGTTTCTAGAAGATAAAGAGAAAAACATTACAACCTCATACAAAAGTTCACAAGATATGAAAACACTTAAGTGAAAATTTAAAATTGAATATGGTCTGTTAATTTTAACGTTCTCCTCGTTTCATGTTTTATTAGAGGTTTTGATGTAACTGTATTGCTGCTGATTTGCAGGCTTCACATCTGTTCCACCACATCCTTGACAGGTTGGGTGGAGGTTTTAGAGGACCCAAATGCAAAGATGAGTTTGCTGATTTAATTGATAGTCCACGGCAACAGAGGAAAAAAGACTGAGAAACAAAGAATCTAGGAACATCAGGATGGACACTGAGTCAAGGCTCTGCTGCTCTTTTAAAGCCTACAGTAGCACTCTGAGACTGATCACCTGAGTAGACCTACCCAGGTTCTCTACAAAGATCCTCTCTGGTAGAGATGCATAACTCAGACACACACATGGGAACCCTGACAATCCTAAAGCTGCTATTTGGATTAAAACTCTAAGGCAGAAGTGATATAATTCCCGTTCCTGGGGGCCGTTATCCTGCAACTTTTAGATGTGACTTTGGTTCAGCACACCTGAATCAAGTAATTAGATAATTGGGAAGACTGCAGGAACTAACTGCATACTGAGGAGGTAACTCAACTGAATAAAAGTTTTGATGTCTTCATGAGTATTTTGGATGCTTTTTTTTCTAAAATGTATTTGTGTTAATCCTGTTTGTAGTGAAAGATTTTCTTCTGGGCTATTTCACCCTCTGATGGTTTTTAATTGTGCTAAACTAACAGTTTAATCATACTTTTTTAAAGCACCTTTTGCCAACCCCTTAAAAACATTTCATATTTTCCCTCTAGTTTGACACCTATTAACTTTATTCTCCAGCTTGCTTCTCAAGTGGCCGTTTTGATTCACGTGTGGAACATGGCTATGAAGGGAATTTTGTTCCATTATTGCTGTGAAGCAAATAATGTGATTTATTAAAAATAACTGCAGTTTTCTCAGATTTTCTTTTTTCAGATTTATATTTTCATTCTTTTACTTTTATAGAGATTAATTTTTTTTATTTTCTGCTTTCAGATTGAGTTTTATGAATTGCATTATTTTCAAAATGTTTTTTACAGATAACATTCTCTTTGCTTAAATCGACATACAAACGCTCGCCCAGTAAAAATATGCTCACTGACTTTCTACAGACCAATAAAAATTGATCTTTGCTCATCATTCCAGAGAAAAGCCCACCTCCAGAAAAGTATGATTGATCTGTACCACATAATTTAATAAGAAATTTAAGAATTAATCGGAAAAAGGGAAATTGGAAAGAATAAATGAAAAAAAAAAAATAATGGAAAAAATAAAAAGAAAGAATCTGAAAGAAAAGAATACAAATATGAGAAAACAAAAAACTTACTAACAAAACTTTTTATTAAAAGGTATATATTTATTTCAAATCTTGGTTGTATTTTTATTCTTTCAAATTTCCATTGTTAAACATGCTATTTCCTCGGATCATTAAAAGAACAAAATTCACTCCATACATTCTAACTTCTAGTTATTAAAAACTAGTGTTGCGCCGATGCCATTTTTTGGCCCCGATATATGGCTGTGCAGTATCGAGCGATACCGATACCATAATAATGTAAAATAATTGCCATCATGGCTTTGTCAAGCTGCTGCCTACCTTTGTGAAGCAGGAAAAAATCTAATACAAAGTGAATCCAGTAGAACTTTTTATTGCCTACCTGGAATGGGTGACAATAGTTGAATAAACTTTTGGCTCTCAAAATGGTATCGGTGCCCTATTTGTTGGTACTCGCCGATACCGATACCACCATTTTAGGGCAGTATCGGGGCCCCGTCCGATACTGGTATCGGTATCGTTGCAACACTATTAAAACCAGGGGCCACCAAAGCCTACGGGGCCCAAAGCAAACTTCTCATCAGATTTATCTTGAAAGATGAATTTGTCTGTAAACGGTTTACACTGGCTCTTCCTCGTCTGTTTGTCAATCTGGCTCCCAGATCAGTAGTTTTTTTTTCTTGTAGAAGTAATGATTTCTGCAGGGTTGAAAACTTATTCTTAGAATGCATAATTCTATCATGAAACTGTGTGTTTTGTTTTTTTATTGCTATACAAATCATTAAAAGTGCATAGAACCCAACAATTATTCACTCTTGCACCCCCCCTGGTTTCTATGGGGAAATAACTGGTTAGTTGGCTCATGCCTTGGACCGGCCCTGGTCCAAGGCATGGTCTGAGTTCCACCAGATTCCTTTCTAAGATCCTAACTTACCTTGTCCTTCCTCCTCTTCTCCCCTTCTTGCTCCCAACCCCCCTCCCTGTTTTATCCCGCCTTCTCTCCTTTTCCAGATGCAAGGTGTGCCGTCCCCCCCTCCTATCATCATCATCACCATCATCGCTCCCACGCCCTCTCCTTCCACGCTCCTGCCTACCACCGTCCCTCTCACGAACGTCCCCCCTACAATCGTCCCTCATATGACCGTCCCTCCTTCGATCGCCCCATCTTTGACCGCCCTTCCATCGACCGCCCTTCCATCGACCGCCCTTCCTTCGACCGCCCTTCCTTCGACCGCCCTTCCTTTGAACGTCCTGCCTACGAGCGTCCTTCCTACCACCGTCCATTGCACGAGCGCCCCATCCAAGACCGCCCCTTGCACGACCGCACACCCCTCGACCGCTGGAACCCCCGTCGCTGTGTGAGCTCCGGACAACAGTACAGCATGTTGGACCAGGAAGAGGTACAGTGCTCTACATGTTAGGAATAAGCTGCATATGCAGCATCGAGCAAAAGTGTTGTTTCCTTTGCTGCAGAAGAATAAGAATGTCTTTTAGCTGTTTGGATTTTATTTCTTTAAATTGACACTGTGCAACTTTTAGCCATTGGGAGGTTCTAGACCTGTAACTTTTATGGTTTAGCATTTTGGAGTTCCTGGTAAATTCACAACTTCATTCATCTCTAACGAATACATCCTACATCAAACATGTATGATAATCTCTATGTCTGATCAGGTAATGATCAGATCTTCTTTGTTGGCTAACATCAACTTTATTATGGTTAGCTCTTGTCTTTAAGTGGAGCTCAAACTACGGTATACTCTGCTTTGGGTCACATCCCGCATTCAGTGACAGATCCAAATATTCATGTTACATAGAAGAGTTTAAACTAAAAGAAAAACACAATTAGAAGAGTTTTATTGATACAATTACTTTACTCTTTGGCGCTCCGACCTCGGCAGGAAACATTAGCACTGAATTTTGCTTGGATATGCATAAGACGGAGTATAAGAATAGGGATGTTTCCTCCAGGCTTGAAACTGGTGGTGGAGTGGAGATAGCTGAAGTAGGTTCAGTCCATACACTGCTGGTTGATGAGGTGGTCTGCTTGAGCTGTATTGGTGAGATCCCGTAGGCTGCATGAGCTTATACTAGTGCTTCCTTCAGGGACCTGGGAAGTCCAGCGTTGATAAACACAGGTTGCATGAACCTGTCCATGATGACCAAGCATGAAGCAATAGTGGAGAAGAAAAACTCATCTTTGGGAAGAAACCTCTGGCAGAACCAGGCTCAACATGGCGGTCTTCTGCCGGACCGGTTAAGATGAGACAGGGAATACAGTAAGAGTCCGGGAGGAATTAGACTCTCCCTATTAGAGATTTGCTCCGCATATCCATCTGGAATCCTTCCGTTGAAGTAATTTTGGGAAGGGGCGAAAATACTGGTTAGCTGATTGGCCTATGTTGGTGATAGACGGACCAAATAAACCAATCAGATCAACGTAGCATATGACGCACTAACAGAGCGACGACGAAGAGGAGCCAATTGATAGATCAAACTCTTGCCGAAACCAGCCGGGAGAAGAGCAAAAACATCTTTTCCTCTGAGAAAAGCCTCCAGAGCAGTGTTTTGCTCTTCTTTCAGTGAAGAAATACTCTGTAATTTCGATAAAACTTGCTCGATAGCCACGCTAACGCTAGTTTCATTGGCTGAAGCCGCCATGTTCTTTAGACTGCTGATTGGATGTTCATTTGGTGAACGGTTACAAATTTTCTTTAACGGAGAGTCTCCAGACTGATCTGCGAGTGAAACCTTGAAAGCTCGCGAGATCAGGATGGTCTCACGAGGCTAGTTCAAAGCTGATTGGCTTGCCAGAGGTGGATGAGGGTAAGTAATTCAGTTTCTTTAGTTCAACTTCCGCCTAGGCTTCATTTCAATCTGAAAAACCGCACAGGAAAGAAAAAGACAATTAGAAAAATGTTATTGATACAATTACTTTAGTCTTTGGGGCTCAGACCTCGGCAGGAAACATTAGTGCTGAATTTAGCTTTGATATGCATAACCAGGAGTAAAAGAACAGGGATGATTCCCCCAAAAAACGTTCAGAGGCTAAGGCAAGAAGGTCAGCATGCTCAGAAGGCAGAGACTTGAGTTGAAAGCTAAGAAATGTAGAACAGCACAATAGATAGAGGAGATGTACTACGACGGCTTACCAAAAAGGGGGCCAGTGCCGCAAAGGCCTACCAAAAGAGGACTGTTGCCGTGAAGGTTTACCAAAAGCTTCATAGAAGGGATAGTTGGATGAATGATGGAGAGGGAATGGAAGATAGATGATGAGAGGAAAAGAGCTTGGTATATCAACCATCTAGGGTGACGAGTTAGAGGAGTGAGATGGATGATATGAGGATCGGCTATAAAACACAGATTTGAAAGAATCAGGCGTACACAGGTCTGACGAGGGATGTGAATGAGTTTCAAAACCACCACCAGTATTTGCAGTTACTTACCCCAAAAGCAGATAGAGCGTTTAGCGGGTAGGATGGGTGAATGAACAGGGCTGATATATGAGTCATGGATTGATGATGAACATCGGGCAACTTGCGAACCAACTATTTTTAAACAACCCCTCAAAACCTATGGATGGGGTAGCATCCGTAAAAATGTAAGCATGGCTGCAGACAGAATGATGTCATTGTTGAAATGATTTGGCGTTCCAATGGAGAAGCAGTCTAGACCAAAAGAAAAGATCAGAAAGGCAGCCGTCATATATTGTAACCTGGTCAAGGAGGAAGGTAATGGAATTGAATCAAAGAGCGACCCTGAGGATGATGCACATGGTAACATTTAGAGCCGTAAGGTACTCGCAGCGAATATCATCCACCCCCGGGACCTTTCCACCAAGGAACTTTTTAACCACCTCAGTGACCTCATCACCAGAGATGGGAGAACCCGACTCAGAGCCCCCAGGCTCTGCTTCCTCAATGGAGGACGTGTCGGTGGGATTAAGGAGGTCTTCGAAGAATTCCACCCACCGACACACGACATCCTGAGTCGAGGTCAGCAGCACACAACCCCAACTAAAACCCCCTTCTGAGACGCCGGATAGTGGACCACAATCGCTTTGAAAAAAGCTGCAGTGGCCCTTTTAAAGACTTTGATGCTGAAGCGGTCCAACACAAAAATAAATCTGACACCACGGGTTTAGGAGGACCGATTGGTTTAGCTAGCTTTCCCACATAATAATAATAATTAAAAAAGAAGCTTTTACATTATTTAGTTTATTTTTGTCATGTTCACTTTTTTTGATGATCTAAATATTAAAATATGGGGTAAAAAAGTTAAAAACAGTGAAAATACTTCCTTTTTAGAGCTGTACGTCTACGTCTACAACTGTTTTCTCCCATCTCCACAACTTTTACAGTTTTTTTTTTCAGTTTACTTTCTGTTTCTACAGGACTGATTTTAATTGTTCAGGGTTGACAAATAGAAAGCTGAAAATCCTCCCAATTAAATGAGCAAGATGGATACTACGTACACAGAAACTTCATGCCTGACTCGGTCAGAATTACTCCACCAAAATGATAGAAACTATGTTTTTTTCTGGGAGGGCAGCATTTCTCTCTTGGCTGTGAGACGCAGTAAGATGCAGTCGCTGCAAACAGGTATGTTAGGATGATGTGAAGGGATGTGGGATTAATGAAAAGGAGTTTGGATTTTGGGACACTATAAAATTCATGATATCATTATTACGAGTTAGAAAATAGTAAACACATCTATTAAAGTGCAGAAAGAGAGAGGATGTGTTTTGAAATGACTCCAGTTAGAGTATTTGTTCATCTGTTGATAAACTGCTCCAAGGTTGATGTTTTTACAGAATTATTTCAGGTTTTTTTCATTGTAAGTCAATCATTAGAAGCCTTGTTATTTAATAAAACTGTTAAAAGTGTTAATCTGTTATAGGTTTAGTTGGGAATGTTTTAAAGTACCTGCTGTTAAACAAGCCCATGATTTATTTACTGATAAAGGAACGAGCAGGGAGCTCGTTAAGTTTATTCTCCGAGTTCCCTTCTGCTTCTCAGGTTAGTGCTCATTAACCTGATAACATTTTCTCCAGCTTGTGTGTTTGCAGGCATGGATATCTCCTCCACTACTGATGTGAAAGAGATAAATCTGTGGTTGCTGTTCATGCCAGGAGAGGGTACTGTTTTTCAGCTTTTTTACCTCTGCCTAAGAAAACTGATTTATTCAATCCCAGATTTTTTTTCAGGGTAGAATGATTATGCAACAGATGACAGCAGAGATTTCTCAGATGGGTGCACAGTTTCAAATGATAGTTGGTTACCTTTAACCGAGAGAAGCTATAAATTATACATACAGGTTTAAATACATAGGAACATGACATGCACAATTAGTTTGCGGTTATACCTAGCTTAAAAAAACTAGCTAACCAAGCTTAAAAAGACAAATGTATTTCAGAAGAAAGGTCTGGCTTATGGAGTTCAACACAAATAGGGTGAATCATTAAATATCTTCTATTTTTTATGCAAAATGGGTCAAAAACAAGTTTTTTTAACATGCTTAATAAATATTTGGGGTGTGATCTCAGAACCATGACAGATTTTGTTGGAATTTGTTTACATGTTTGCAATAAATATGAAGATAAGGGAAAAAGAGGTCAAATAACTGTCAGAAATTAGAGAAGAATTAAAAATGAGAAAATGGTGCCTTTATACTGCAGAAATGCAACCTGTAGGGTTGGGAATTGATAAGATTTTCACGATTCTGATTCCCTTATCGATTCTGTAAACAATTCGATTCCTTATTGATTCTCTTATCGATTCTGTGAAACAACGAACTTGGTAAGTGCACGTTGACTTTCGTCTACCTTCGCCTGGGACGTTCTAATTCTGTCTGCCTCTGCGAAAACAGAAGGCAGTGAACAGGAGCTGCCAGCCTCTGAGCCAATCAGGCTACCCGTCTCGTCACAGTCATCTAAATCTAATGGAGAAGGCATCCGTTTAATGAAAAAGCATTACTGTACAATTTCAGGAAATTGTGTCACCTTTCTCTCACTCCCTGAACTGCGGAGCAGCTTCGTAGCATGTTTAATACCCCCAAAGAGAGGTAGGAAACTGGTGTATTTCCAGAAATGGCATATGATTTACTAGGAACCACATTTACCTCAGCCAGTGATATAAAACTAGCTACTTACCACCAGAGTTTCCTTCCATGCTGGTCGTAACTTTAGCTTCTGTTTGGAAACATAAAAAACACGGCATTCGTTCAAATGTATGCCATGTTGTGTGCTCAGGTGTTTCTGCATGTTGGATGTATTTCCTCCCGCGGATGTTATTGCCACTTTACATCCAAACTTTCGATCAGTAAGCAAGTACGTACCTACGTACTTGCTTACTGAATGACGTGTGCGTAACTTACGTAAATAATCATGACGTAACTGCTGCTG